GTGTGTGTGTGTCTGTGTCTGTGTCTGTGTCTGTGTCTGTGTCTGTGTCTGTGTCTGTGTCTGTATCAGTGTGTCTGTGTGTCTGTCTGTCTGTCTCTCAGTCGCTTCTTTTACTCCTCCTGAATACCATGATCCTTACCTATTGGCTTGTTTTCTTTTTCTCTCCCACTTCGGTTACATTTATCCTTGGGCAATTTCTCCGAATAAACACCCCCTCAGCTCGACACGCCTCTCGTAAAATACTAAAATGTCTAAGTTTAAAAATCAAGAGAAAACACTTTCTGACTAAAAGTGGAATACGACCAGACATTAAAATACAGAAAAGAAAGGAGGATGAATATAATCAATCATTAAACATATTCTTTTTCTAGTTTTGCGACTTATATTCCTCCGTCTCCTGGCGTACATCCCTTGAAACGCTCTTGGATGAAAACAATGATAACAAAATAGTACTATCAATAATACAGATACTATTAACAGTACTGATGGTAACAATAAAAACGAAGATGATCCTAAAGTCATTTTCTTTTCTCTTCCTCAGAGACACACCAGTATATGGTCATTAAACAACTCAAAAGCAAATTCCTCCATCACTGAATGACAATAAGTCATATGTATCCCTACTGAGATTAATCTCTTTACTGAGATTCCGGTTCATACATACTCTTACATTTAATAACTTAAAATCAAGATATATATATATATGTATATAAAATCACACTGCTAAAAACATCAATGGTACAAAAGCTTATCATTCACGTGACATAAAGTTATAATAGATATATTTATGTGTGTGTATATATATATGTAAAATTCTTTTTATAATGAATACATACAACAAAATTAAAAGAGAGAAGTCTGTAATTTCAAAGGAAATCCAACACATACAACAGACCTCAATAAAAGACAACCCATTTTCTTCGTTGATAAGTACAAACGTGATCGGCATAACCAGACGACAATGTAACCTGCTGAGAACTCGATCAAACATTTGAAAGTCTTCCAAGATCAAACAGTATCACAAAAATCATGGGTATGGACACCTAAAAGAAAAGAAAAAAAAAAGAAAACAGTAAAAATGGACAATCATTTCTTCAGCACTTCCCTTTACAGAAAAAAAAAAAGAAAAAGACACGATATTCTTTCTCTCACAACACTCTCTCCTTTTCCTCTTTCGTTCACACTCCATCGGTTCCTTCACTAGTGTTCCTTGCTTCTCTAAGGTCCCTCCAAACCAAACCCCTTTCCCCTCCCCTCCCCTCCCCCCATCTCCCCAACTTCTCCCCTCACACTTCCCCCTTCCTCCTCCTCCTCCTCCTCCCTTCATTATACAACAAGGCTGTCGTCGTCCCCGCTGTCTACGACGAACTCCTCCCCTCTCTTGCCGAACAGGTGCAGCGTCGGGAGGCGGCGGCAGATCCCTGACAGGATCCCGTATCTTCTGTGGGCAATGGCCAGCACCACGGCCACTAGGATGACGGTGAAGGTGATGCCCAGACCAAGGCCCAGACTGAGGTGGCTGAGAGAATCATCTGGAAGGACAGGAGAGAGCCTGAGATGGGGACGAGGGCTGGGGGAGGGGGCGGTGATGACGATAACTCAGGGTGCTATTGTGAGGGGACGACTGGGTGGTTATAAGCACTGGAGGCTTGTGGTCATGGATGGAGAACTTCACTGTGCTTGTTATTCTGATGAATGTCAGAATGAGGATGTGTACGGTGATGGTGACAATGACATTGACAGTGACACTGACAGTAAAGGTGATGGTGACAGTGACAATGACAATAATAACAATGTTGCTGCTGACAATCACAAGATAACAATACTTATCATTATTATTTTTATTACAATTATCACATTATATGCCAAGAACAAAAAAAACAACAACTCAAAGAGGAAGAGGAGGAGGAGAAGGAGAAAGAGGAGGAGGAGGAGAAAGAGGAGAGGAGGAGGAGGAGGAGGAGGAGGAGGAGGAGGAGGAGGAGGAGGAGGAGGAGGAGGAGGAGGAGGAGGAGGAGGAGGAGGAGAAGGTGAAGGAGAAGGAGAAGGAGAAGGAGAAGGAGGAGAAGGAGAAGGAGGAGAAGGAGAAGGAGAAGGAGGAGAAGGAGAAGGAGAAGGAGGAGGAGGAGGAGGAGAAGAAAAAGGAGAAGGAAAAGAAGAAGGAGAAGACAAAGGCAAAGAAGAAGGAGAAGACAAAGACAAAGAAGAAGAAAAAGGCAAAGAAGAAGACGAAGAAGAAGAAGCAAACACAAAACAAAGGAGGAGAAAAAGGAGAGAGAGGAAAGAAAGAGCCTGTGTGCGCAAACCCCGCTCTCTCTCACCAGGGGGGGGTTTGGGCTTCTCGCACTCGTTCGTCTGCTCGTTGAAGGTGAAGTCGGGCAGGCACTGGCACGTCCCGCTCTGGTCCACCACCTCCACCTTGCACATCTCGTTCTCCGAGCATGACTCCAGGACTGTCGGGTTGCAACTCTGGTAGCAGGAGGGGGGGAGGGTGAGGAGGAGGAGGAGGAGGAGGGGGAGAATGGAGTAAGGTTAGTTCCTGAATGTTTTTGGTGATTGCTTGTCTTAACAACGGAACAAAGATGACTGCGTTTAACCCTTATGCCCCACAATGCCATACCCACTTTGATACATGTTTATTTATTGTATTTACACATAGATGGCTCCACAAGTTCTTAATCACCAAATAGCCGGTTATCAAGAACTACCTATTTCACCTGTTGACCGTTTTCCTTCACTTTAGGAAAGTTTTTTTTTTTTTTTATCATTTCATTGTCTAAAATATTCTAATGACAATTTAATAATCATAGCATCAATAACAGTAATAACAGTATTGATAGCAATGGCATTAATTTTCCCGCCAATTCAGTGAATGGGAAAATCAGGGTTGGTCACTAGGATCTACTGATAGACTCCTTGCCGGCTGAGCACATGTGGAGCCATCTATATGTAACAAAATTCACCAAAAACTACAGGGGGCAGAACATAAATCCGGAGCGAATGGGTTAACGCACACAGCCTCCCAAAGTTGGCCTATGCTCTTTGCTTTTCAAAATCTATTGAAAAATTATACAACGCTACCTTCGCTCAGCAACTGGGGGTAATATTTCCCAGCTCCAATGGGTAAAAAAAAAAAAAAAAAAATGTATTTCTAAAATATATCAACATGCAAACCACGAAATATACATCTCCGGGAACTGAATGGGATGTGAGACTCTGGAAGCCCAAACAAATCTGGACTTCTACGCACAGCGAAGGCAATAGTATAACTGCAAAACTATCCTGGCAATAAACACAAAAGAAAACTGATGAAGTTGATTTGTTTGTATGTCGAAAGTTGGGTCTCCATTACCTTTTTTTCCCACTGTCTTAAAGTTTTGTTTACATTAAGAATACCTGTAAATAAATCCCAATAAGTACGGCATACCTTATACAGTATCCAGACTCTTGAACTATATTCGTGCCCGGGAAATTGGAAGTTTGCTAGCATCTTTCAAACAATTTTTTTGACTTTAGTACTTAAATTTTGTTTGTAAGTATGGAATGTTCATAAGTAGAATGTTCTTAAGTAGGGGACTATCTGTGTGTATATATATATATATATATATATATATATATATATATATATATATATAATGTTATATATACAAATATATTTACATATATACATATATGTATATATATACGTATATATGTATATATATACATATATATATATATATATATATATATATATATATATATATATATATATATATGCATATATGTACATATATATACATATTTGTACTGATATATAAATATATTAATATATATATATATATATATATATATATATATATATATATATATATATATATAAGTATATATATAAATAACATATAAATAAATATATAATATATATAGATATTAAATTAAATATTTAAACTTTTCAATATAAATATATACATAAATATGTGTATGTGTATGTGTATGTGTATGTGTACATATGTATATATGCATATACAAATAAATATATATGTGTATATATACATATAGATATACATATACATGTTTATTTCATAAATACCTACATATGAATATATATTTATATACATATAAATAAAGATAGATATATATGCATGTATATACACAAATTAATCAATTAATTAACTAATTAATTAATTTTAAAAAATACCTATATGTGTGTGTGTAAAATCATACATAAATATATGTTTGAGTATTATCTATCTAATTTAATATATATATATATATATATATATATATATATATATATATATATATATATATATATATATATATATATATATATATATATATATATATATATATATATATATATATATATATATACAAATATATATATATGTAAATATATACATATATATATATATACATATATACACATAAATATAGTATATATATTATACATATATATATATACATATATGTGTATATATGTATATTTATATATACATTGTAGATATCATATATATAATATATATTTTATTTTATATATATAATATATATCACATATTATGTATTACATTTTTATATATTTGTCTATTAAAATATTTATATATTTTCATGATCCTATATTCATAGACTCATATATCAATATATTTCTACATATTTATATATATATATATCTATCTATCTACCTATCTATCATTTATATATATTTTATATATATACAAATATATATATGTTTATATATATATATATATATATATATATATATATATATATATATATATATATATATATATATATATACATAAAATTTATACTTATATATATATAAATACATATATATACATATATATACTTATATACACATATAATTTATATAATTATAAATATAAATATACATGTAAATATGAAAGTATAAGTGAACACTTATGCATCTGTAAGTGTATACATTTTTTAATGTATATATAAATATATAAATGTATAAATAATAAATAAATAAATAGATAAATGAATAAATAAATCAATAAATGTATACATATACATATATATATATATATATATATATATATATATATATATATATATATATATATATATATATATATATATATATATATATGTATCTATACATATACATATATATATATATACAATATATATAAATGTACAAATATACAAATATATAAATGTTTATACATATAAATATATATAAATACATATACATATATATATATATATATATATATATATATATATATATATATATATATATATATATATATATAAACTACATATACATTAAATATACACACACACACATATATATATACATATATATACATATATATATATATATATATATATATATATATATATATATATATATATATATATATATAGATATATATATATATATAAATATATACATATATATATATATACATATATATATATATATATATATATATATATATATATATATATATATATATATATATATATATATATATATATATATATGTATAAATATGTTTATATATATTTATGTAAGTTTGTGTGTGTATATATGTACATTTATATACTATGTATGTGTGTATATATATATATATATATATATATATATATATATATATATATATATATATATATATATATATGCAAACATACATATAGATATATATATACATATATAAATATACATATAAATATATACATATACAAATATATATAAATATAAACATATATGCACCTATAAACATATATATATATATATATATATATATATATATATATATATATATATATATATATATACATATATATACATATACATACATATATCTACATATATCTACATATATCTACATATATCTACATATATCTACATATATATATATATATAAAAATATACATATAAAAATATATAAAAATATACATATAAAAATATACATATAAAAATATATAAAAATATACATAAAAATATATAAAAATATACATATAAAAATATATAAAAATATACATATAAAAATATACATATAAAAATATATATAAATATACATGCATACATATATACATACATACATACATTCAGACAGACAGATAGACAGACATTAACCCATTGCTGCCAGGGAAAATGAATAAAAAATGGAGAAAATGCTGTGCTCATCTTTTATATTATTTTGTGAAATGTTTCTACACATAGATGGCTCTGCCTTATCTGATTTCATCCCTCCTTTAATTGGCGCGAAAATTTATTTTTTTACTAGTGCTAGGAATATCGATGGTGTAATTCTTATTATAAATATTATAATTACTATTATGTTTTTGAAAATTAAAGAAAAGGGTGAATGGACGGAATAAGTAGTACTTGTAATTGGCTCATTGGTGACTTAGTACAAGTGTAGCCATCTATGGGTAAAAACAATCAAATAAGTAAACCCACAATGGGCATGGCATGGCATGCCTGTCAGCAATGGGTTAATACATACAGACAAAAACACATACTGATGTACATACGGACAGACATACAAATAGACAGGCACACACACACACACGCGCGCACACACACACGCATACATGCACACACATATGCAGTCACACATAGCTTACATTCTGAAATCCTGGCCTCCTCATAATTGTATCAGTCCCAATGTGCCCCCATGACCCCACTGGATCCAGGTGCCCACGTGTAGACCAAAATTTAGGCTCTAGGATTACTCAAGTGGCAATTCTTCCAGATGTGTGGTTTGCGTGCCCGGCCCACACGAACGCTCATGTGCTCTATCCTCACTCATCACCTGCCCTTTGAAGTGTTATAACTTTTTTTTTTTTTGTATCATTTTACAGGGCCTATATACATAATTTGTCTTGCTGTATCCAAATAGAATGTTTTAATTGAGTATACCTTATATTATCCTTCTGGGTAGCCTAAAACTCTGTGAACTAACAATAACAATAAGTGACATAATGTTTTTTAATTTTTTTCATATTTTCGTATTATTCAATTTTCTGTAACACTCTCTGCACCAACAGTCATGGAAAGCAGGAACAGAATCCCGAGCATGAAAATTGATTCCTCTCTGGATCCAGCACACTTCCAGTCACAGCTCAGGGAGAGTACATTCCACTCTTGTTTACTGGTAGAACTAGTACAAGTGCCCCTTCCTAAATGCCCAGAGACTCTAATTTTCCTCAAAGATTTTTTATACACTCATGGTGTGTCCTTTGTGTCACCCTAGCCTTCAGCCAATTTTTTTCCTGATGGTGCATTCCTCTCCCCCCCCCCCTTCAGCCAAATTTTTCTGTAACAGCATATTCCCATCACCCAGCCTTCAGCCAAATTTTTGTCATGAGGTGACAGTCACTTCACCTGGATCCAACGGGTTAGTGCCTATCGTTTTATGCATGACAAGTTACAATAAAGAAAATTCAGGCATATAGATGGCTCCACATGTGCTCAGCCAGCAAGGAGTCTATCAGTAGCCCCTAGTTACCGACCCTGATTTTCCCATTCATTGAACTGTCGGGAAAATTAATGCCATTGCTATTGATACTGTTATTTTTGTTATTGATGTTCTGATTATTAACCTATTCACGCAGGTTGTCACATATACATGACATGCCCACTGTGAGTTTACTTGTTTAATTCTTTTTACACACAGATGTCTACACTTGTACTTGTACTGCCTGTCTCGCCCGTTTACCCTTTTCTTTACTTTATAAAAATATTTTACATTATCTTATTTTGCTGTTACTAATGTTTATAACTTAGTAATCATAATGTTTATAATAAAAATAACCATCGATATTCATAGCACTAGAAAAAATACATTTTCCCGCCAATTCAAGGAAAGGTGAAATCAGGTAAGGCAGAACCATCTATGTGCAGAGACATTTCACAAAAAATATAGAAAATAAGCACAGCATTTTCCCCATTTTTTGTTCACTTTTAAATTGTCATTAGAATATTTTAGACAATTAATTGATTCAAAAAAAAAACTTTCCTAAAGTGAAGGAAAAGGGTAAACAGGTGAAATAGGTAGTTCTTGATAACTGGATATTTGGTGATTAAGAGGAGCCATCTATGTGTAAATACAATAAAAAAATGTGTCTCAAAGTGGGTATGGTATCTATCCTTGCCACGTGGGGCGAATGGGTTAATGCAAAGATAGGTACATTTACAGAACACATGATCTCCCCCCACAGTAATATATTGTAAGCAGTAAAATACCTGGTTATATATGGTATTGCTCACTAACCTTGACGTTAAGATAAGTGCAGAGAAAAAAATAAATAAACAGAAGAATAACTGGTTTATAATTAATTTATATCAATTTGATCCTAAACAATATATACACAGGTTCTTTGTATTAATTCCATACAAAAGGTTAATTTACATACTGGCCCACTGCAGCATGTGTATTTAAAATAAACATGCTGAAACCCACCTTTAGATTTCTGTAGTGTACATACTAGTTCTCTACATATACTACCAACAAATAGATTTAAAAAGATTTTGTACAGACAATACAGAAAAAAAAAAACATTGATCCTCAGGCATTATAAGTCTCAAACTCGATCAAGAAAAATCTAGTGTGAACCAGTCAGTAGACATCAAGCTCATGATACAGCATACTGATAATAATTCTAAATACTACAATAGTCTCCACACATCCTGCAGCGGCAGAGTCCAGGAACCTCCCTCTCGGTTTATACATTGCGACAACTCGGATCTTGCACCCGTTCCTTATTTAACGAGTCACAAGAGAGGTCTACAAGTTCTTTGCATCCCTCAAGAATGTACAAGCAGGTAGTAAAGCCTTGTTGGCCTATGATAAAACACAAGTACAGGTCATCAGATTCACATGATATAGTTGTTGAAATGTAACAAAAGAAAATTTTTATAAATGATAAATATATGGGCTATGGCCTTTTAGACAGATGAAGCGACACCAACAGCCCCAAAAAGCAACCTACGGAAAGTGGAAGTCAATAAAGAATCCTCCATCAAAGATAAACCTGCAGTGACTCAAGTGCTTGCTGTGGTCTTCTTAAGAGCACAACATGCCTGGAACTTGTACATCCAAGAGAGAGAAAGTTTGTAGACCACTCCAAAAACTTGCCATCTACAAAAGAACCAATCCAAGCTCTATCTCACTTAACCCATTCGTGCCAGGTGTCATGTATATGTGACATGCCCACTGTGAGTTTACTTGTTTAATTGTTTTTTCATATAGATGGCTACACTTGTACTTGTACTGCCTGTCTCGCCCGTTTACCCTTTTCTTTAATTTACAAAGATATTTTGCATTGTCTTATTATGCTGTTACTAATGTTTATAACATTATAGTAATTATAATGTTAAGAATAAAAATAACCATAGATATTCATAGCACTAGTAAAAATACATTTTCCCGCCAATTCAAGTAAAGGTGAAATCAGGTAAGGCAGAGCCATCTATGTGTAGAGACATTTCATTAAAAAATATAAAAAATGAGCACAGGATTTCCCCCATTTTTTGTTCATTTTTACCCGGCACAAATGGGTTAACCCAATGCTGAAGGGTATGACGTGTACATACATGCTATGCCTACCATGAGTACTTGTTAGATTGTTTTAACACATAGATGGCAACACTTGTACTAAGTCACTAATGAGCCAGTTACGAGTACTGCCCGTCCCGCCCGTTTACCCTTTTCTTTGATTTAGGAAATATTTTAAGTTATCTTATTTTGCTGTTACTAAAGTTAAAAAACATTATAATAATTATATTTATAATAAAAATAACACCATCGATATTCATAGCACTAGTGAAAAATACGTTTTTCCCGCCATTTCAAATCAGGTACGGTCACAAGGTCTACTAACTGACTCCTTTGTGGCCAAGCACTAGCAGAGCCATCTATGGGCAGACATTTTATAAAAAATATAGAAAATAGACACAGACTTTTTCCCCATTTTTTATTCATTTTCCCCGGCAGCATTGGGTTAATAAACAAAGTGGAAGTATGTTTGCCTTTGCCGAAGC